CTCCTATTATCCTTAAATATTTCAATAATTTCTTCTAAAGAGGTCAAAGCAGAACATTCCAGTAGAGTGATTTAAACATGATTAGATACTTTCGACAATGAGAAAAATANCAAGGTTAGAAGCAAAATACCTCTTTGAAACCTACATCAAGTATGGTTTCTTGCAGATCACTAAAACTAAATCAGTAAGAATTTTCATGATAACAACCAATAGAGTTCACTTTCACGTTTAGATCATCAGTCACAATGAATGATGATCTGCAGTAGACAAACACTCAATGTGTATTATTTCCTATCACTTCTCCAACTTGATCTTCTCATGGGACAAGAATCAGATAGTTCACCAAAGCTCCACAACTACATATCGTCATATTGAGGTCTTAAAATTGTTGTATATATTGCAGCATGGTTCACCACTATTAAAGAAATTTGGGCATATATAAAAGTTTGTGGCATGATCAGTAGATAGAATGAGATTTTCTCGAGCATCAAAAAGGATAGAAAGAAAGAATGCGAACATACTTCTGTTTTTGCTAATGATAATCACTTGCTTAATAATGAAATATTTCTTATGTTGCAAACTAGTACGAATTAATAAGGATAGACAAACTAGTACGAATTGCATGTCTATAGAAATATACTGATCATTTTTCTTATGTTGATTTTAATGTAGAGAAAATTTCAAAAATATTATTAAATGTATTAATAATGTATTGGTTTTCACATTTAACTAAATAAAATTAGCATCCAAGTGTGATCCACTTAGTTGGTTTGGAAGATCTTCTCAGATTTTTGGACCTGCTATATTGTTCAAATGATTCAAAACATTAATGCATTAGTCATCACTTTCAATAATATCTTGATGTTTGGAAGCATTTGAACAGTTCTTAATTTTTTTTTTTTTGAATTTCTATGATCAAACAAGACTTCCAACTTTTCTAATTCTACGTTGTGTCTTGAATTTTTTATTAAACACATATAGATAATGAATTGATATTAATTAAAGAGTGCTGCTTATCTTGTATCTTCATTCATAAGTCAATAATCCATAAATACGGCGGGCCTATAAAAGGGAATGAAAAAAGAAAGCCTTAGCATAGGGCCCAAAAGAGAGGCCCATTTGACCACAGAAGTCGGAAAAAGAAACCGATATAATATGTCCCAGCAGGTGGTGATGCTGCTGCCGGAGCTGCCAAGGTAGAGGAGAAGAAGCCAGAAGTTGAAGAGTCCGATGAAGAAGACTATGGTGGTTTCGATATGTTCGGTGAGGAATAGATGTCTATCGATCTGTTAAGGTTATCTTTTTGTGAAAGCTATAAATGTTGCTTCCTTTGTAGTATGATGATCTCTGTTTTCATGATTTTGGCCAATCCAGATTTTTATGTTATTGTCTTTTTTTTGTTACGAAAAGTTTCGTTTCTCAAGTTACTTTGATATTTTCTTTGAGTATTCACCATATGTTGCATGATCTTGGACTTTTAAAATTGAAAGCAATGTTTCGATCTTGGATCCTCTCGTCTCCAGTGTTATAAAATTTAAAGGAGAGCTGCGATTCTTGTGTGATTTAAACGAAAGAAGATGAAACGATTATTGGTTTGCTAATTACTTAAAAACCCTTTAACAAAA